CCCTGCAGAAACTGGGGACTCTGGCTTCAGGGAGCTGGGAAACTCCCGCACGGCTTGGCGGTTGCTTTTTTACTGTAGTAAAACACAGATAACGCAAAATTTACCATCTTAGTCACTTTTAGGTAGCAGCTCGGTGACGTTAAGCACAGTCTCTGTCGTGCAACCGTCACCAGCATCCCTCTCCAGGACTTTTCCATCTTCCCAAACTGAAACTCTGTCCCTGTCACTCACTCCCCATTCCCCTCCCCCAGCGCCTGCCCCCACCCTCCTACATTCTGTTTCTATGAGTTTGCTCCACAAACCTCAAAGAAATCGAACCATACAGTATTGGTCCTTTTGGGACTGGATTACTTCACTTTAATGTTCCCAAGTTTCACCCATGTTGTAGCCTGCGTCAGAACGTCCTTCCCTTCTAAGGCTGAGTAATTGTATGGCCATAACACTTCTCATTTACCCATGCATCCATCCATGCACATTTGGGTTGTTTCCCGTTTTACTTACTGTGAATAATGCTGCCGTGAACATGGGTCTGCAAATCTCTCTTTTACGTCCCTGCTTTCTGTTCTTTTGAGTGTATACTCAGAAGTGGGATTGCTGGGTCACCTTGGCAGGTTTTCAAGTGAGGAAGTGACTTGATCTGATTTACATTTTTAAAAATTTTTTATTTTTATTTTTTTGTGGGGGAGGTAATTAGGGGATTGAACCCAGGACCTCCTGCATGCTAAGCATGTGCTCTACCACTTGAGCTATACCCTCCCCCCAATCTGCTTTACACTTTAAATAATCACTTTGAGTGTATTCCACAGAAATAACCAGAGCTCTGCTCAAATATGCTGTCTCGAACTCATACATTTATGTCTCCTTCCTCCAGAAAAAAAAAAAAAGAGAAATCCACAGAGATATAGTTGAGTCCACAAGAAGAAACAATCAGTTGACAAAATTTGGGAAGTTGGAAATCAGATCATCATTGACCTGAGAAGATGGAGGAATATCAGCTGCTGCACTGATGGAAGCCAAGAAGCAAGCTCATTTAGTCCAGTGAGTCTGGTGAGTTCCAGGTACTAGCCCTATCTCTGAGGACAGGACAGTGAGTGGGGCTAAGCACAGGAGGATTGATTGAAAAATCTGCAAGAGGTTGCACTCTACATCTCCCCTATCACCAGTGTATTCAGGTGAATGCCTCACCTCCACCGTGGCAGAAGACTAGAAAACTTTCATTCCAGAGGATCTGGAATAGAAGGACTGGGATTTGAGAACACCAGACAGCTGAGACTGGGATGCAGTCATAAAGATGCAATTATATAAAGTTCATGTAGGACTCTAACCCTCTTTCTCCAGTTAGCCACAAGAATGTTGGCCACTGTGTGTATACCATGCTCCCCTACAGCCACCATCTTTCCTTCTGGGTAAACTGACTAGCCCAAGAGAAAAGGCCTCGGTTATCGAGAACGGGTGATTCCCCACAAAACTGTGTCCCTGCTTGGTCACCCTACAGTGAGGGTACTGTTTAGCACATGTACACTAATCTTCCAAAGAATACCCGAGTGGTTTTGACTCTTAAACAGTGATGCACAATCAAGGATCAACAGACATTCCAGGAAATCCTGATGGAGAAAGACAAAGATAAAAACAAACAGGGAAAAAAAGAACTCTGAGAAAACAGAAATAGCACATGGGACAGAAGAAAATTTCAAAAAATATGTATTTAAGGTCCCAAGGGATACTGTATCCATGAAATAAGCGTGGGATACTATCAGGAAGGAATGTTCTAAAAGTGAAAAAGCAAGAAGGGAGGGCTAATGTAAATGAGCAGCAGGAGAGCAGAATCATTGGAAAGGGTGGCACATAGGGCCTCTCAGAGCATCAGGGGAAAGTCCTGGGCTCAGGGGGCTCTTTTCAGTAGTACTGTCATGTATTTTACCACAATTTTTAAAATGTTTTAAAAAATCTGAGGGCAGTCCACTGATCACTCCTTTCTTCCAAAGCAACAGCAATTATTCTGAGAAATTAAAATCACCACTGTCCTGGGCATATATCCAGAGGGAACTCTAACTCGCAAAGACACATGCACCCCGATGTTCATAGCAGCACTATTACAATAGCCAAGACATGGAAGCCACCTAAATGTCCATTGACAGATGACTGGATAAAGAAGTTGTGGTATGTTTATGCAATGGAGTACTAGTCAACAATAAAAAAGACTAAAATAATGCCATTTG